TATATAAAATTTTATATATATATATATATATACATATATATATATATATATATATATATATAAAATTTTATATTGCATTCATGTAGCTACTGTAGAACAGCAATCCGACAAAGGCATAAAATAAAAAAATAAAAATAAAAATGTGAAATTTTAATTAAATAGAAAAAAGCAAAGTCAAATATCTCAAACAGCTGTTTGGAAAATGCATAAAATAAAATAAAGTAGCAAAGAAAAAGCAAAGAAAAACAGCTCAAACAGTACTCTGCCAAATGCACAGAAAATTAAATAAAATAATGTAAAGTGAAATAAAATACATTAAAAATTGACCTGGTATATATTATTTTATAGGAATTTATTGCAGCTCAAACAGTTAATCTACAAAACAAAATAAAATAAGTGATACATAAAAAATAAATTAAGCAAACACAGCCATCTTTCTATTTGCATATCAGCTTCTCCAGCTCTGACTGATTGAATAATCCTGTAAAAACACTGTAAAGAAAGATGTGGTTGAGTGCTTTGGTCAAACTCGTATTCTTGCCTGTATTTGATGTTCACAATATATCATGAACGTTATACTAGAAGTGTCATTTGTGAAGCAGCAGTCATCTGTCAGCTGAACTAGCCTTTCATTATTTCTTCAATAATGCCTGTGTTCCTACAGAAGTGCTATTGGTTTGCCACTCAAATAAATGAAAAGGACAGCCGGGTGACCTCTTCTGGCAACGGCCTCTGTGTTTGTACATGAACGTCACAGAAGTCACGTCTGTTTCGAACAGTCATGGATGCATAAACATAATCGGTGAAATCACACCCCACAGTGCTGAAACAGATCAATGCTAAAGCAGAGAAATATGAACGTCTAGCAGCAATAAAAAGACTGTAAAGCAATTTGTACAGGGTGGATTTGTGGAACTTGACAAATGACCTCAATGTACTTTAATAATTCAGATATTATACATTACTTCTGAAATCATTAAAACACATTCAGCCTATTCTTTACAAAAAGTACCAGGTTAACATGAAATACCATGATTTATTTGACTTGTTAATGATTATTTGAATCTATTATTTGAAGTCTGCGTTATCATAAATCTAAATATCAAAATCAAAATAAAGTGCCATATTACTGTCTAATATCTTCAGTGTACTGCAGCTTCATCGCAGTACTTTTTTTGAAAGAGATTATTACTGTAAAGCATTTTTTTTTAATTTCAGTTTACATTTTTTTTATTTTAAAATTGAAAATAAAAAAAGATATATTTATAGTTTAATAAATGTATACTTGAAAATAATTATAAATCATGGTAGTGTTTGTTGTATTGCCTTAAGATAAGTAAATAAATTGCATTACGGTAAATTTGGAGCATAAAATATTAGAAAAATTGATGTAAATAAACAGATAATATATTTATAGTTTAATACATTTATACTTTAAAATAATTATAAATCATGGTAGTGTTTGTTGTATTGCCATAAATAAATTGCATTACAGTTAAGTTTGAGTATAAAATAATAAAAAAGGTAAATAAATCGCATTACAGTAAAACCAGTATAAAAAATAGAAAATGTGATTTAAATAAATAAATAAATAAATAGCATTAAAATAAATAAATAAATAGCATTACAGTTAATTTTGAGACTTATGTAAATAAATTGCATTACAGTAAAACTAGTATAAAATAATAGAAAATATGATGCAAATAAATTGCCTTACAGTAAATTGTGAGTGTAAAAATAATACATTTTGATGTAAACAAATAGCATTACAGTAAATTTTGAGTATAAAATCATAAAAAAATTATGTAAATAAATTGCATTACAGTAAATTTTGAGTATAAGATAACAGAAAATAGTATAAGAAATTTCAATGTTAAACACCTTAGTGGGAATAATGGGAATTACAAAATAAAATAAAATACAATTATATTATATTAAAAGCAATAGGGCATCATGTTACTGCACTTAAATCTAAAGGTAAAAATAGAATAAAAAGATTAAAGCATAAAATATAAAAAAATTAAAAGTAAAATAAGGGGAGAACGTGACATATATGTCATGAGAATATACATAATATAAAAAAAAGTCTTCAAAAATAATGCAAAAGGTAGTTTACATTACATTAGACGCCTTTTTACCAAGACCTACATTCCATTTAGCCAACGTAAATATTTTAATGCCCATGCACCTGTCTGTCCTCTATCTCCTAAACCTACAGACACACAGTGTGTTCCTGCAGCTCAAACAGACACGTCTATCATCAGGATGGTCTCTGTTCTGTGGTCAGCGGAGGGGGAAAGAAAGAGGAACTTACTGGGATTAAACACAAAAGCCTTGCGTTGACAGTCTCCCTGTGTCACCCCTGAGCTATCACTGCTATTGTTGTCCTTATTTACCATTTTTACTGATTGGGAGGGGTGTGGGGGGGGTCCACAGTGTGTAATTTGCCCAGTGGGAGGTAATTATACTCCCATGGCACTTTGATCTTCCTGACTGTGCATTTGACTGGCCGGGCAATCAGCTCCATTCAAAGGTATCCCAGCATGGCTGGTGTCCCCCCTCTCCTTTACTCTCTCTGTGACTCTCCACTACAGACAAACAGATTACAATGACGGCTCTTAAAGGGATAATATTTAAAGCTGGAGTGTAATTGATGTACAATGGAGGTAAAGTAAAGGAGGTTGACTGAGAGGATATAGACGTGTGATATGTTAACTGTGAGAGGGACGCGTCACCCCCGTCATCTTAATGCTATGAGATTCATAAACACCTGATTGCTTATACACTTTTTAGTAAACAATAAATAAATAAAACACTGAAATTGAGATTAATTTACTTTTCAGGTCAAATTACTTTTTAATTGCCTCATGCAAACTGCAGTTCAGTTACTTACTACACAATTTATTTGTATATGTTTCCTCTAAGCACACAGCAGAATTGCATTGAATTACAAAATTCATTTAACAACAAACTATTTTTGCAAACTGTTTTCTAAACTACTTTCTCTATAAACTGTTATTTGTAAACTGTTATTTGTAAAATATTTGTAAACCAGCTTTGTAAACTACTTTTAAATTACCTTATTTGTAAACTACTCTTTGTAAACTTTTTCTAAACTACTTTCAAACTAGTTTATTTATATATTATTATTTGGAAATGATTTCTAAACTACTTTTGTAAATCATTTTGTTTAAACTACCTTATTTGGAAACTATCTCTGAACTACTACTTGGCAAGAATTTCTAAAACACTTCAGCAAACTCTATCTAAACTACTTTAATTTGGAAACTATATCTAAACTACCTTTGTAAATTACTTCTATTACTATTTTATTTGTAAACTATTTCTATACTACTATGAAATGAATATTTGTAAACTATTTCTAAACTAGTTTTGTAAACGAGTACTAAACTCATTTGAAAACTATTTCTGAACTACTATTTGGAAGCTAATTCTGAACAATTTTATTTGGAAACAATTTCTAAACTACTACATGAAAACTACTTCTAAATTGGTGTTATGAACTATTTCTAAACTATCTTATTTATAAACTACAATTTGGAAACTATTTCTAAACTGCCTTTGTAAACTACTTTATTTGATTTATTTGAATATACTCTATGGAAACTGCTTCTAAACTACTATATGGAAACTATTTCTAAATTACTTTTATAAACTACTTCCAAACTGCTATTTGTAAATGATTTCTAAACTGCCTTTGTAAACTACTATTTGGAAACTACTTCTAAACTACTATATGGGAACTATTTCTAAATATACTTGGAAACGACTTTAAAATTAATTTATTTGTTAACTATTTCTAAACTCTTTTTTTAAACGCATGTAAACTACTGTGTGCAACCAGATTTGCTTAAAGTCAAGCGAGGTTGTATGTGACACTTGTCATAGGGATGATGTCTGTTCAATGTGATAATGCTAATCTCTGGCAGGGGTTAAAGGTTAAGGCTAGGGTTAATTTGAAAATTGAATCAGAGGCTCAAAAAAGAACAAATGAATGAACAGCTCTACTAAAGAAAAATAAATATTTGACAGTTACTCCGTCAAGAACTAGCGCTAATTACCAAGACGAATCCTTTCAAAACCACATTAGCTCTTTCTGACGTCAGACTTCAGGGTATTTCGCCAAACAGAATTCAATATGTTCAAACCCATACAATAAAAAAAAATAAAACTGATTAATGTAGAATGTAAAGAATATTAAACATTTGTTTCTCATGAATGTTAAAGGTTGCCAAAAGTTTCTGTACATTATTAAAAAAAAACAAAAAACACCAGTTCTAAATCTCAGTCAATGGAATCAAACAGAAAAAAGAAGCAAAAAATAAATTACCGGAAATTTTAAAGGACACAGTTACATAAATTATTTTTTAAGACAAAATGTGGCTAAAAAAAGACAATTATTAAAAAATTTATTAAAATAATAATAAATAAATAAATTCTGACACACACACTTAAGAAAATATAAAATATAAAAACGATATATCCAACATAAAACCAAAATAAACATTAAATAAGAAATTTAAGGACAATATTCAAAGACAATATTTCCTAAAATGTAAGTTCATGGACTTTCAAACACATCATGAGAAGAGCAGGCCAAAGACGGAGTACCAATTTCTTACAGTGTTGAAACTGATTCACAAAAAAGCAGAGTATGTTGTTGGTTACCAAATTATTGTGATATGCATATCACGAAAATAATTACAATATATAATAAAATTATAATAATATACATATAATTTGGCAATCTGCATACCAACTACCACCATTACGAACCCAGGTTAGATAGAATAAGCAAACAAAGTTAAACTGTGTTCCACTGACATCTGTTGGTCGCACAAAAAAACTGACTGAGAAAGCCTAAAACAATCAAGTTCATCATTTCAAAGTCTTTAAAAGTTTGCATGCACTTTTAGTGCTGACACACAAAAATTTCATATATATATATATATATATACATACAAAAACCCTTAGGATATTGACATTTCACTAATCCTCATAACCGGTCTACAGTGTACTTACCTCATATCATGAGCGTATGAATGCGGTGACGTACCTGTTTGATGGGTATGGCCCTTCCACTCCCTATACTGTCAGTTTTACTCTCAATGCTCTTTGTCTGATCACTGGCTTTCCGTGACTGCAAAGAAACAAGACAAGATGTCAGTGCAAAGAACAAACTGGGAACACACATGGAGGTGGGGAGGGTGTGTGTGTGTGTGTGTGTCTGTGAGTTGTGCTTTAACTTGTGTGTGCGTGTGTGGACCTTGGTGGTGATCCTTGCTCGCCTATTGTAATTCACTCAGAGGTTGCAACTTTAATGATCTCTGTAATGTATATAATCAGTTGAAGATGCTGAGGGTGTGTGTGTGTGTGAGAGAGTTGTGCCTTAACTCTAGTGTGTGTGTGCGTGTGTGAAGTGTAGTGAGTGTTGGTGTGTGTGGTGGGGGACAACATAAAATCGCAAGAAAGAGGCTCAAATAAACGCGCAAGCAGAACAGTGCAAACATACAGCAGCACATTGAACGTGCAGTATATATAGATATATATTTACACAGACCAGGACAGACACACAGAACAAAACGACAACGAAAAATATCAAGTTCGACCAATAACGAAACACGGGAAGTCAGAACTAAACCCCCCCAAGAGCTCTTTTGTGATCTTTGGCGCCTCCTTGTGGCTTTACCAACCACAGACGCATCAGATTCAAACAATACAAGAACATTAAATGCAGCTTTATATACAAAAGGTTAGCAGAGGAGGAAAAAATAGGGAGTTAATACGGTGCATCTTTTTCTGACAGCCTCCACCTGTTAAAACATCTGATAAACAGGTCAGACAAGAATAATAATAATAAAAAAGATTCAGAATTAGGGTTAGATTGACAAACATTTCCAAACAAAGCAAAATCAGGAGAAAGAAATGTTAGTTTATACATCATTTCAGTTCCATTTTTCAGTAGCTGGAAATGGCATTAGGGAAAGAATAAATGTTAAACAATGAATCCTCTCATACAAAATGACCCAAAACGCAACATGAATGCTCACTCATACCCGACAGACAACATTATGGCGCTCATTCGCAAATGGAGAGAGATAAAGTTTCATGATCGACTCAAATAAACTAGGCTAAAGTGTATTTTTCAACAGTTTATTTTTTCGTTCGGATATATACAGACACCATACAAATCAAGTCACAGGTTTACGTGGAAATAGTCAACAGGCAGAGCCACACATTGCAGTTCCCACAAGAGAGAGTTTGACTAAAGAGGCGCTGTTTCATATATCTCATATATGTATAGAATATACTTTCTATAGAATACCATTGGAAATCAAATTCAATACAAGGTATACGGCAGTCTATATTTGTCCATTATTGAATTATATAAAAAAACGAAACAGTGTGCAATGCATGGAACAGTTCATCTTAGCACATCGTCATGAAATAAAAAAATGAATAAGCAAAAACAATCAAACAAAAGAACAAAATAATGGCTCTGGGTCACAAATACATACTACATTCATACAAGTCGGTGCATTTCCGTCACGCTTCTCTATGTCTATGAAGGCCTTCATATCGTTCAGACTTCACACCAAGCGAGGAAACCGCGTCCGTGCGCCGCCGCGGCAACTGCATCAACTAAACAAGCGGCTTTATAAACGCATCACAACGCAATGTGACGTCTCAGGGCGTCATGTGACATCATGTTAGTGTCACAGTTGAATGGTGGTCAGCACATCGAACAAGAAAGCTATGTCATCCGGAATCACATCTTTTTATCGTTGAGGGATCCGGCACTATGCCGACCGTGCAGCATCGGGACCTTGACTAGCATCACATTCCAGTATGACGTGGTTCACAAAGCCGCGGTCTTGTTAATAAAGATGAAACGGAGACACGGGGTGCGGTTCGTGGCATTCCGTGTGAAGTCTGACTAGCTAAACTAACCCATCAGAACTCAAAGGAAAGACAATAAATAGGAAAATAAATAGGAGAAACAGAGAAAATCTTGGCAAAGTGTTTGGAATTACCGCAAAAGCAATTTTGGGCGTTGTTGATGGCTATTGTCCGAGTTGGTGAACATTTAGCAATAAAATGACTGATTATGATTCAGTTCAGTGTGTTCATGTAACGCAAGTTCGAAATCTGTCTTTTTCTGTCCAACCAAATGTCCTTTAAACTCAACCATGGCTGCCAAGGGGCAAGTGTCCAAGAAAGCCATGGTGATACCCACGATGCAATGCGGGTTATTAGGGGGAATAAAGCAGCGCTTGTTTGCTCCTCCTCACTGAGGACCCCCTCCCATAATGCATTGCAGTCGTACCACCACCACCAAGGGCTCGTCTAATTGAGGAGAAGCTGGAAAGCCCTTTTAGTTGAAGAAAGGTTGGAAACAGAAGAACAAATCTGGAAATATCGACAAAAACAGTTCAACACTTTGGTCACGGGGAGCGTGGACAGAAAGGGTTTAGGGGGGGGGAGCAATGGATCGCAAAAATGCGTAGACATCTACACTGGAGATGATGGCGGATGTAGTATGATTATTGGCTTTTTTTTTTTGAGCAAAATAGTGATGATGTGTCGAGAAATAATAAAATAAAATAAACCCCTTCCCTCTTCCTGTGCTCTCACAGAATGGAAAATCATGGACAGACGCCACATTAGACCAATGACAAAAATATCTGAATGGTTGTTTTAAGTATCATGGACAACACTTTGGTCACGGGGAGCGTGGACAGAAAGGGTTTAAGGGGGGGGGAGCAATGGATTGCAAAAATGCGTAGACATCTACACTGGAGATGATGGCGGATGTAGTATGATTATTGGCTTTTTACAGGGCAAAATAGTGATGATGTGTCGAGAAATAATAAAATAAAATAAACCCCTTCCCTCTTCCTGTGCTCTCACAGAATGGAAAATCATGGACAGACGCCACATTAGACCAATGACAAAAATATCTGAATGGTTGTTTTAAGTATCATGGAAGCACTGTGCTTGGTTTCCTGTCCTCTGCTGACATCTAGTGGCAAAGACACACACTTATGAAATGATATTCATGAGAGAATGTTATGAATTATGAGGTGACAGGAAATATTACTAAATCGGCAAACTGTTCTTTTTATATTATTCAATAATTACATGAGCTTTAGTCTTTCATAAAAAAAAGAAGTAATTTATTTTTATAACATTTTTAACAAAATATTTAATTATGGCTTTCTTTAAAATGTAATTATTTTATTTTTATTTAGTGTGGAGCAAAATGAGTTGTTACCGATTGCAATCAAAAAATCTTACATTTTTCATTCAGTCTTAACTTAATTTATTGGCACTGGCATTTATATATTTGAATATATATACATATATACATATAATTATTTTTTTTCTTTCTTTGTAGGTGACTGTCCAAATGCTATCCTTTACTCTACTAGTGGTAACAAATTTACTCTTTCACTATGACCCAAAAGACTATGATTATAAGGCCACTCTTGACTTGGAACAATAAAATAATATCTAACATAAATTATATGTATATGACTTGTATATGCCGAAAACTCAGCATAGCACACACAAAACAAAGGCTTTCCTCATTTTTTGCATGCTATTTCTAAAAATTTAGCTCGGAGTGGCTATTATGATCCAATTGCCAATAAGATGACTGGTTAGAGAAGTCGTCAAAAGGGGAAATTAGTAACCAATCCAGATCTCCCAGCCGTCTTCGGAACGTCGTAGAGAGGCTGCGTGGCCCCTCCCTCCTTGGTCTGGCTCCTCCCACTCCCCCTCCCAGCCCTCACCCCCCCTGTTCCCGCCCACACCGTAAGTCCGGCTCCTCAGAAGGTCATGAGTTGAAACTCCCGTTCGCTCTGCCACTCGGACACCCAGACGGGGTAGGTGGCGTGCTTCGGCTCCGTTACGCGCACCGGCAGAGCGTTGTGTCTCGTGTGGACGGGGTTAGACACGACCTAGCAGGGAGGGAGGGAGAAACAGGACAGGGGGCGGGGCTTGCTAGGGAATTTTGCTGATTGACACAGTGAAATTAGGAAGGGCACAGGGAAAACATCAGTATCGGGGAGGGCAGGTATTTAAATCCAGAGAAGATAAAAAGCTAAGTTCCCTTGGTGTAAAGCTTTTAAATTTACAGTGTATATAAAGGACGAGGCAAATCAAAATGGCGGAAATAATAGCATAAATCGAAGCGTCTTTCCTTGTCCTAAACATCTCTCGTCATTTTAATGTTTGCCTCCCTGCATTTACTGTAATATGTAGCTATAAAAAGCATATGGTCATGCGCTTCTGTGGTAGCAGAGGCAGGAGGGATTCAGTTACACTTAGCTCCGTACCTCCCTCTTGTGGTCAGAGATGGCATTACGCTCTCTGGCTTTGCCCTCCACTGCCCTGGGTTTGAGGGGAAGGGGGTGATGAGACCTAAGGGCAGATCCACTCACTGCAGACCTAGAAACAGCTTCTCTCTAGCTCACTGGCCGTCTGAAAGCAGCAGGGGCTGCTGGGAGATCTGCAGTCAGGGGAAGTCCAGCACTCTCAGTAGTGGGAGTGCGTGGTGCTCTGCATTAGCTGCCTCATACTTACTGTGAAGATGTTGGAGCGCCGTTTGGACTGCTTGCGGATGGGCGTGGGAGTGTTGGAGGCGGCAACCGTCTCGATGCGCATCTCCCTCTGGCTTATGCTGGGGGTGGAGGGAACGGAGGACGAGTAATCGCTGAACGCACCTCCTCCATTAGCAGAAGAAAATTTGGGGAAAAGCAATTAAGAATAGGAAAGGAGCAAGAGAGATGCAGTAAACAAAATTATCAGCATGATTTTCTGGTTTTTGACAGGCAGCACAATTTTTATAGTTTATTATAGTTCATAAAGGCCTATTCTTCCATCCTAATTCTCATACTTGTACTATGCATATGAATATGATAGTAGGAAAGTACATGTATGTGCAGTAAGACGTCATAAAATTGTGTCCTGATACCACATATGCCTTTGTTGCATTAAATATCATAGCTACTACAATTATTGTTACTGTTGTAAAAACTATAAATTTATATTTCTGTAATTTTATTTAATTTATTTGTGATGACAGTTTTTTAAAGTAAAAATAATAATTAACAATTTTTGTGGAAAATATGGTTACCATGGTAAATTTTCAGAACTGAAATATGTGCCTTCTTAACATCAACTAGCCAATTGTGATTCACTTTGCGGTTTGCATGCTAGCTGCTTCAGCACAGGTTTTGGCTGACTGAGGCTGATCCTAGATCAGCACAAATGCACCAGACTCACCTGATTGATGTGTACAGAGGGAATGGACGCGGACGGAACTGACGAGTGGCTGGGAGAGTTGGGCAGAGATTTACACGGACCAGTCGAAAGCTGCTGCTTTTTCCTCAGCGCCACCACTTTCTGAGCAACTGCAATCACACATCATAAATATTACAACTATGAAATCAATGCATTAAATAGATTAAAAGTGACAATAAAGACATTTATAATTTCTGTTTCAAACAAATGCTGTTCTTCATGTTTTCTAAAAAAAAGAAACAAAAAAGAAGAAATTTCAAAGCAAATCAGCATATCACAATGATTTCTCAAGGACACTGAAGACGGGAGTAATGATGCTGAAAATTCAGCTTTGCATCACAGGAATAAATTACATTTTAAAATATTTTCAAATAGAAAATATTTCACAATTTTACTGTATTTTTGATCAAGCATCAAGATCAAGAGAAAAAAAAAACTCATCAAACTTTTGAATTATAGGGTAAAGTATGCAAGTATTTGTCCACCTCTTGTACACTGAATAAAAATGTATGAACAGTAGAGATGTTCATTTCGGTTATTTTTCCTAACCGACAACCGATACTCATTAACCGATTGTTAACAGACAAGATTATTTTAAATTAGATAAAAAAGTCTTGACCAGGGGCGCATCATGTACTCACGAGCGAGACTATGGGTGCTCCAGAGAGGGAACAAAATGTCAAAAACAAAAAGTGGATCCCATTGCAAGAAACAAAAATAATCCTTTTATATTTTGCCTGCTATGCGAGTGCCTGGACGTGGATTATTTTTGTTTCTTGCAATGGGATCCACTTTTTGTTTTTGACATTTTGTTCCCTCCCTGGAGCACCCATAGTCTCGCTCGTGAGTACATGATGCGCCCCTGGTCAAGACTTTTTTATCTAATTTAAAATAATCTTGTCTGTTAACAATCGGTTAATGAGTATCGGTTGTCGGTTAGGAAAAATAACCGAAAAGAA